ATAGGGAGCAACTGAGGGAACTTTGAAAACATAAGAAAGATACAAATAACTAAGGCGCGGCGTACTAGTAGCAGAGAATAATGAGACAATTATAGAAAAGTGAAGGCTATGGGTCAATAGTAATGTGAGTTATATTATACCTTGAGTTACCATAATATATTTTACGAATATTTTAAGTTATCATAATTTATTTTATATAATTTATATTTTATGGTTATGTTAATGTTTCAATTACATGGATTATTTCTTGAATTCTATTTGCTTAAATTGAAACCCATGGATATGTTTGTTTAAATCTTAATAATTATTTGACAATACTTTTATAAACAATTATGTTATGTAAGTACCACCACGAGAATCCACGCCTTGGGGGACTTAAATAAACCATTGGCTTCTATTTAGCAATTTTGTGGTTCTCTGTTTGTCATGGATCCATTGACTTCTGTTCTGTTTGTCACTCCAGTGACTTCTACTCTGTTCTGTTTTGTACCGTGGTTATAGTTATTTACGTAACTTCTATATTTCAGTTTCTGCCACTTAATTAATTTTTTTATTCAACTTAATTATATTAATGTTTTATCTTAAATAACTATCCATGGCTATTTTGTGCCCTATATTCATAGTATAATATTTTTTACTCTGCTATATGCTTATACCTGTTATCCCTTTCAGGTGACGAAACTTAGTGGGATCAAGATGGGGAATAAATCACAGTTTTTTTTTTTTTACTATCTGTATTTTGGATCAAACTTTTGTAATAAAATAAAGAGTCCAAATGACTATTTTGTTTCTTTTAATAAACTTTTGGTACCCATTTATTTATTTGTTTTATTTATTTATAAGTTATTCGCTTGTGCTACTAATACAGTAATTTTAGAATTATTTTATTTTTATTATCTTGTTGCGTCACTGAACCTTTGGGTATTGGGTTTGGATCATGACAAAAGTGGTATCACGACCCAAACCCGATACTCGGAGGTTTGGCGTCACAACAAGACAATAACTGAAATCATAACAAATTAATAGTGCACCCGAGTAAAATAAAAGGGTATCCAAATCTTTATTTAAGTATAACAAAATGGTGTACATTGGATTTACTATTCGATTGCAATACATGAGCTATACTATGACTACAAAGTGCCTTGTGCCTACTCCGTACACTAGTTTTGACACGTCACCTGAAAGTGGTTAATAGCTACAAGCACATAGCAGAGTGAGAAATATTATACAGTAAACATGAGAGTACAAAATTTACCATAGATAATTATTTCAGCTAAAACATTAACATAACTTAATTTGAATAAACAAATTATTCAATGTGGTAAAAACTGAAATACATAAATTATGTAAATAAATAACCATAACTACGATACAGAACAGAGGTCACTGGAGTGACAATCAAAACAGAAATCAATGGATCCATGACAAACAGAGGACCACAAAGTGACCAAACAGAAGCCAATTGTTATTTAATTCCCCCAAGACATGGGACTCTCATGGTGGTACTTACAGAAAATAACTGTTTATAAAACCATTGTCAAATAATTTCCAAAAGTTAAACAAACATATCTATGGGTTTCAATTTAAGAAAATTGTGTTCAAAAAATAACTAATGTAATTAAAATATTAATATAATTTATAAAACATAGATTGCGTAAAATAATTTATGGTAACCCAATGCATACGTAAAATATATTATGATAACTCAAGATATAATATAACTCACCTTAAAATTAATACTTCACTCTTTCTTTCTACTATCAAATATGTTCTTTACCTCTAGTATTTCTTTCCCCTTTCTTTGTTTTCCTTAACTTGAACATCTCCTCCCCATTTATAGGGAGTCAATCCGTGAGCCCCAAGCCACCACTTATACACGTGGCTCATCCAAATGATTCTCCATCAATTCATGCTTATCCAATATGTGCCTTTAAGGTGACTCACCACACCTATGCATGCCTAATCTAGACTACGTATCACTTGCTCCATTTTAGCTTTATTTATTTATTTTATTTTCTTTTTATAATTTTATCAATTCTAATTCGGACCCAATTATTAAAATTTCAACATTATTAAACTGAATCAGATATTTAATTAAACTCTTATATAGTCTGATACTCGAAATAGTCATTTGGGTTTCTTTTTCTTATAAAAGTCCGATCATAATTACATATAATAATAAATAAATAAATAAACACTACGGTTCATTTCCAATCTCAATCCCGCTAAGTCTCATCACTTGAAAGGGGATAACAACTATAAGCACATGGTAGAGTGAGAAATATTATACAGTGGGCTCGAGAGTCTAAACAAAATCCATGGATAATTATAAGGTTAAACAGAAATTAGTTTGATAATTGAAATATATAACTAATTTTAATTAACAGAAGTAGAATGTAGAAATCATATAAGCAAATAATCATAATCACGATACAGAACAGAAAAGAACAAGGGGTTACTAGACTGACAATCAGAACAGGGGTCAATGGATCCATGACAAACAGAGAACCACAAAGTGGCCAAATAAAAGCCAATGATTTATTCAAGTCCCCCAAGGCATGGGACTCCCGTGGTGGTACTTATAGAACATAATTATTTATAAAATTATTGTCAAATAATTTCTAAAATTTAAACAAATATATCCATAGGTTTCAATTTAAGCAAATAGAGTTCAGAAAATAATTCACATAATTGAAATATTAACATAACCATAAAACAAAACTTATGTAAAATAAATTGTGGTAATTCAAAACATTCGTAAAATATATTATGATGACTCAAAACATATATAAAATATGTTATAGTAACTCAAGGTATAATATAACTCACCTTACTATTAACCCATAGCTTTCACTTTTCTATGATTGTCTCAATATTCTCTGCTACTAGTACATTGCTCCTAAGTTATTTGTATCTTTCCTATGTTTTCGAAGTTCTCTCAATTGCTCCCTATTTATAGATGGTGATTGTCTTGTTTCTAATTGAGTGAATTGTTCAAAATGGGCCACTTGTCTAACAGGTGCCATTTCTCCCTTCTACTAGAATGATTTACTTTGGCTATATTACTTAGTCACCATCTTATATATTAGGATGGTGATAAACTATTTATATATATATATATATATATATATTTTATTCATGAGTAATTGATCTAATTACAGTATTGAATTAAATTAAAAGAAATTCGGGTATCACAGAGATGGCCCATTCTACAGTTGCTGTCGAGCTCTTGGTTCCACCTGCGAATAAGTCGTGAGAATTAAATTAAGGCCTCGTTTGGGAACAGGCTAATTTAGTAACTTTTTGACTATTTGGCTAAAAAGATAGGTAAAAAAAACTTGTACGTTTGGGATGACTTTTTGACTAATTACGAAAAGATGTGCAAAAAGTTTACTTTGGCTATATTACTCAGTCACCATCTTATATATTAGGATGGTGATAAACTACTTTTATATATATGTATATATATATATTTTATTCATGAGTAATTGATCTAATTACGGTATTGAATTAAATTAAAAGAAATTCGGGTATCACAGAGCTGGCCCATTCTACAGTTGCTGTCGAGCTCTTGGTTCCACCTGCGAATAAGTCGTGAGAATTAAATTAACTAGAATTATTTGACAGTGACATAATAGACATGTTTTGATTGTTTGATTGAGTTTTATATATATATATATATATTTCAAAAGTTAGTTTGGGGAAAGAAATAAAATAAAAATAAAAATTCCAAGTTTATTATTTTCATATAATTTTTTTGATGAGTTCTGTCTCACGAGGTTTGTTGGGAAGTCAATGTATATAAAAGGTCGCTATTTTAAATTGTTGCCATTTGGATCAGGACCGAGGATGTGTGTGATAACCCAATCTGTAGTAAATTTAGTTACACATGTGATTATGTTTTTGATATAATTTATATGTCAAATTATGTGAATTTTTATGTGATTATGAATTTATATATATGTTGGGGATAAAAAAATATGTCGCAATTGGAATCTTGAACTGAAAATTAATAGCCTTAGAGGTGCCAGAAATCAAAACCGATTTCATATCTATGTTTAATATGATTTTTGGAGCCTATGGTGAAATTTGAAAAAATTACAATTCGTAATAAATTAATTGAGTTTAATTAGCATAAACGATAGATTAAGCCAATCTCATTATGTATGTAATTTTATGTTTAATTGATTAAGGAGATTTGGATTCTAATTGGTTGTTACTTTAAGGTAATTTGAGATTTATGAAAATTTTTGGAGTCTGATTCGTATTTGATTTTAATAAGGATTTAATTTGGAATTAGAAATTGAAAGCTTAGATGGCTCAAGAGAGTATAATTGGTAAATTGAACTATTATAATTTTGAATGTCGGACCATATAGGAGTTTAATTAAATATTCGATTCAGTTTAGTAAAATTGAGATTTAATTAATTAGGTCTGAATTGGAGTTAATTAAGTGAATTAAATTATGAGGATTTGAAAATGTTATTATTCGAAATTAAATTTACTTATGAAGTGCCCAATTTAAATATGTAATTTATTGATGAAAATTTTGAAGTTTAATCTGAAATTGAAGGCCTTAATAATTTAAGGAATCAAATTGAGGTTGGAAATAAGTTTAATTTAATATTTTGATCCTTTTGAAGATTTGATTAAAAATTTGATTCAGATCAGCAAGCTTAAATAAAATTAATTGGGCCTTAATGGAAGTCAAATTAGACTTATTAAATTATGTAAGATTTATGATTAATTATGATTAATTAATCAAGATTTATTAAGATTAAGTGTTACTTAATTAAGCTAATCCTAATCATAAATCAAATTAAGGAAGAATCTAGAATTGTGACTATGTGTGGGTGTGCAGAGAAATCAGATATGTGTATACTGTTGTTGTGCTGGCAGCTTGGAGCTGTGCACGTGTGTAGTGTGGATGCCTCAATAGAAGTTGTGTGTGTGATACATGTGCTGCAAATTAGATTCAAACACGTAGAAAAGAGAAAAGAGAGAACCAAGAGACTGAGAGAAAGAGAGAGACCGAAAGAGAGAGAGAGAGAGAGAGAGAGAGAAAGTTCAACCAAAGAAAGAAGACGAAAAGAAGAGGGTTTTATGGGATATCAAAATTTAAGTTAAAAATTATGAAAAATTCATTATGAGGTAAGGAATTCCATCCCTTTTCTAGTATTGTTTAATTAATCTAGACAAAAATTGATTCTAGGTGGATTTTGAGAGGATTAAAAATAAAGATTTGAAGATCAATTATATAAATTGATAAAATTTGGGTTTTGTATGTAAAATTAAGTTAGGTTGAAGAATATAATTTATTATTCTTAAGATTTGTGAAGTTTGAGTTTAATTTTGAGAATTATTCTTGAATTAAGTCCCATAGATTACATGCATCAAGATTTGTTTGAAGATTTGATCTATGCAATGGAGTTAGGTTCAAATTTATGGAAATTAACTTAGAAATTAATTATTTTGGATTTGATTTTACATATCTTATATGAATTTGAGTCTTATTTTTACATGCATGTAATTTGAAGAAATTAAAGAATTAATTCATGAACATGGTTGAGGTTAATAAATATGAAAATAATTGTAATTCTTCAATTGAGCTTGGGTTTGGAAACTTTGATATATATGAGATGTAAATTTACATGCATCATAGATTTCTTATAATTGATTTCATATTTTGATGAAACAAGAACTAAGCTTTGGAAAATTATAAGTTTATGAACAAATGAGTTCAATTTTTAAATTAAAGAAGTTTTGATGTAAATTATTTAAAATTGATCATATTTTCTTGATTAATTAAAAGTTTGTGTGGTTTAGACAAGCCATGTATGAACCCAAGTTTTGAGATTATATTTTGAAAGTTCAATTCATGTTTTAAAATTTGTTGGTTTGAAATAAGGCTTCATATGAAGAATATGAATTTTAAATTTAAATTTGGACAAATGGAAATAAATTATAATTTATATTTGGGAATCAAAAAAATTAGTTTGATTTTGAATTAAATTTCATACATGTAAATATTTTTGGAAGGGTTTTGTAAATTCAATTTATGTTTCATAAAATAAAGAAAGATCATTTTTGAAACATGGAGAACTTGGCACCAAATCACGCATGCATATATAATTTTGAAGAATTTCATGAATTTGAGTGTCATTTCTACCATTTGAGATGAAATTAGAGTCTACATTTCACATGCATGCACAATCCATGAAAATGTAGAATTTATGTGTATGAGTTATAAAGTTTAAGGAAATGAATTTGAAATAATTTGGGCTTGTATGATGGATCCCTGGAGATTTGAGCTTCAAATCTTGTAGAATTGGCATTATATCATGTTAGAAGTTGTATGGTTGCTATATATGACAAAACATGTAAGTTGTATCATTTAAAGTTATGTTTTGAAACACAAACAACATTCTAGAAAACCCATAAATCTTCTTCATCGCTCGAGCGGAGAAGTTTTCTCTCGAGCGTAGAATGCAAGCAACCAGTATTTTTGCAGGCTAAAGGGTCTGCTCGAGCGACCAATGTTGCACTCGAGTGAAGAGCCATGTTTCAGAAAATTTTAAAAAAACTGTTTCATGTTTCAAATTCCGCCCTCTTTTATTTTTAAGCACTCTTTGGCATACATTGAGCATTAAATGAATTAAAAGAGTAAGAAAGAAGCCTAAGAGAATTAAACAAGTTAAGAACATAATAAATTGTATTGTGACCCGATTTCTATGTGTGTTATGAATTGTGTAGTGTCAACTACAAGGGTGAACCAAGCATCTGAATACTGTGGGTAATACTTTAGTAAAGATATGTTCATATATGCTATTTGTAAATACTGCTCATGTGTAACTTTTCTAGATTTGTGAATTTGAATTATGAATGAACATTCTATTTGTTTGATTGTGCAAGACTCTGTAATGAAATTGAATAGTACGAAATCATTTGATTACATAGACCAAAGGTCGTTCTGAGTTAATATGAAATGGGCCTAAAGGCCGTTTTGTATATTTGATTGCATGGACCAAAGGTCGTTCTGAATGAATATAAAAATGATGGCCTTGAGGTCGTTCAGTATAAATATGCACATAAATATGGATATGGAAATGATGGACCTGAGGTCATTCAGTATAAATATGCGCATAGATATGAATATGAAAATGATGGACCTAAGGTCGTTCTGTACTATGATTGGGCCCGAGGTCGTTCTGTAATATCATTGGACAAGTATTTTGGACCCGAGATTGTTCTGTATGAATGAGAACTTGGACCCGAGATCGTTTTTCCCTTCTAATACACCTTGAACATGATGGATTGAACTTAAAGTCGTTCTGATTTGGACTTACATGTATTATACATAAATATGAATTACTTAATTAAGAATTTCATTCATATAAACTCTTTACTTTAGTGTTATTCACTGGGCGTTGGCTCACTCCTTGTTTATATAAATGTAAGTGTAGGTGAGCAACTGGAGAATCAACATTAAAGTTTGCCCAGGAGTCCGCCTCTTTGTCAAGCTACCCAAGAGTGCCTCTATGTAGAGGCTTTGTTCTCTTTTGTTTTGTGAAGTTTGGGATAATCTTTGTATTTGGTAGCTTGGGATAATCTTTGTACTTGGTTAGAAGTCCTTCACGTAATGTGTGAGATATGATATAAAATATGTCTTCGTACATGTATATATGAAAGTGTGTTAAGAATGTTTTAATTATTACAGTTGATCATGTATGCACAGCTCGATGGACATCATCATTTTTGTTTTGCTTCCACTTCAGGCCCCAATAAAATTAAATATTTTGAAATTTTGTCTTTGAAGCCGTAGGTAATCTACGGATTACTGGCCGGTTACGACGATAAATTTATAGGGGCGGGTATGGGTCGTGACAATGTACTTAGGTTATAATGTTATGATTCAATTGAGTGTGGCTAATCTTTTTCCTAAATTCAAGTGGAAGTTGCATGAATTCAAGTGGAAGTTGTCTAGAACGATGAAGCCGAAGGATCTAAATATGGAGGAAATATTTGGGCTTTTGACGCCTAAAAAGATCCCACTTCTTGCCATCTCTATCAACCTCTATGGTTCTATGGTTCTAAATAAAAATATCGAGATATACATTGATATTGGTGATTCAATTATATATTAGACAGTGTTAACTGATATATTGATAAATAATGACATTAAAAATTTCAAATTTCATAAGGAGCCAATATGATAAGTAATAGCCAATATTTAAACTCTCTTTCTTTCTAATGATACATATTAATTTGATGTGTGTATTATATTTTGTTAGCAGGTATTTTAATATTATAATGTGTTAATGTGTTATCGTTGGCTTTTCTTTTCTTTCCCTCCAAGTTTTCAAGTCTCCTCATTCCTATCCTTTCCAAGACTTCCAAGGTAAGTTTCCAAGTCTTGGTCAAGTCCACCATGCTTATCTATCTAACTCTTCTCCAAGTCATCCGTTCCTCATCCACCAAGACAATCTCCAAGTCTTTGCAAGTCTTGGTCTTGGTCCACCAAGACTTATCCATTCTAAGTCCATCTTTACTTAGCCACCAAGATAGACTCTTATATATAATTTGAACTATGTCCTATCTTGGGTGAACACGAGAAGTGAAGAAGTTTTGGTTGTGTTGTTATGTCTTGAGTGAGATTATCAGGCAAACAAAAAGGGTGTGTGTGATAAAGCTTTGGGTTTAACCAATTGTGCAGTATTGGTGAACCATACGACTTAGTCAGGCTGTTGTATCCTGGAGGGGACAAGTCAAGGTTTTTCTGCTGCACCGGTGTGAGGCTTTGCCTAACCGCAGAGGGCTTGAATCTCCTTAAAGAGAGCGAATTTCCCGCGCCTCATCCCTTATATTAATTGTTGTAACTTTTATTTTGTGTATTTTCTGGTGTTTTATTTGTAAGTATCACCAACAATTTTAAGGAGATTCAAATAACAAAAGTTCATGGAGCCAGTACTGGAGAAGCCTAACAAGAATACCGGCGATCTCAACAAGCCCTTTCGGTTCAAGGGAGCTCATTTCAAAAGATGGAAAAGCAAGGTGCTTTTCTACCTCAGTCTCCTCAAGGTGGCATATATCCTGACCGAGAAAAATCCTAACAAAGTCCCCACTGAAGAGATGACCGACGAGGAGTATGCTGCTCATTTTGAAAAAATCAAAAAATACAACACAAATAAATATAAATGTCGATACTATCTTTTTAATTATCTTTCAGATCAATTTTATGATTATTATGATACTACTTACACCACTGCCAAGAAAATTTGGAAAGCCTTGCAAAACAAATATGACACTGAAGAGGCAGGCGCTAAAAAATATACTGCAAGCCATTTTTTCCGCTATCAGATGATAGATGGAAAATCAGTGGTGGAGCAAGTTCAAGATTTTCAGATGTTAGTAGCTGAAGTTAGATCTGAAGGCATCAAAATTAGAGACAATCTTGTTGTAGCAGGTATTGTTGACAAACTTCCATCGTCTTGGAGGGAGTTCCAGAAGTCAATGCGTCACAAGCAAAAAGAGACGTCCTTGGAGACTCTAATCACACGAATTTGGATGAAGGAGGAAGCACGAGGACAAGATGCGCTTATGACATAAGAACATTCCACTGCAAAGGTAAATTTAACTTCTGGAAATACTTTACCTAAAGGTCGATTTCATAAAAATAGTCACTTGAAACCAGTTAAGAAAATTTGGAAAAATACTGGAAGGCCACAAAATAAAAATTACCCGATGTAAAAGAAATGGAATCAAGAACCCCCTTCACAAGATTTGACAAACGTGACATGTTTTGTATGTGGCAAAAGTGGGCATATTGCTCGAACTTGCAAATTTCGGAAACAACAGTCTCGACCACAGGCTAATGTTACCGAGGAACCATTTGTGGCTATGATCACAGATATTTTTATGGTTCAATCTGTAGAAGGGTGGTGGGCAGACTCTGGTGCCAATAAGCATGTCTGCTATGATAAAGATTGGTTCAAAGATTTCACTCCTTTTAATGAGGAGATGACTGTTATGCTTGGTGACTCCAGTTTAACCAAGGTGCTCGGGTGTGGGGATGTTGAGTTGAATTTTACCTCTGGACGTGTGCTTGTTTTAAAACATGTGTTGTACACACCGTCTATGAGGAAAAATTTGATGTCAAGTTATTTGCTCAACAAAGCTGGTTTCAAGCAGACTATTGAATCTGACCAATATGTAATTACTAAAAAAGGCATATTTGTGGGGAAAGGGTATGCCTGTGATGGAATGTTTAAATTAAATGTTGAGAATAAGAAAGCACATGTTTCTGTTTACATGTTGTCTTCTATGAATTTTTGGCATGCTCGTCTGTGTCATATTAATAGCCGATATGTGGGAGTCATGAGTAGTTTAGGATTAATTCCCAGACTGACAAATAAGTTTGAGAAATGTGAAATTTGCAGTCAAGCAAAAATAACTAAAAGGCCTTATAAAAGTGTAATAAGAAATACTGAATTGTTAGAATTAATTCACACTGATTTATGTGAATTTGAAGGAATTTTAACATGTAGTGGAAATAGATATTTTATCACTTTTATTGATGATTTTTCAAAATACACTTATGTATATTTGTTGAAAAATAAAAGTGATACTTTTGAAAAATTTAAAAAATTCCTTCTTGAAGTTGAAAATCAATTTGGTAAAAAGATTAAAAGATATAGAAGTGATAGAGGCCGGGAGTATGAATCTTTTGGATTCAACTTGTTTGCTCAGTCTTTGGGAATAATCCATGAAACTACTCCACCATATTCACTTGCATCTAATGGTGTAGCAGAAAGGAAAAATAGAACTTTAACTGATTTAACAAATGCTATGTTAATTGAAGCAGGTGCTCCTTCAAATTTGTGGGGAGAAGCAATCTTAACTGCATGTTATGTTATGAATAGAGTGCCACATAAAAAAAAACCAAAGTTACACCTTTTGAGTTGTGGAAAGAGCATAAGCCAAATTTGAGATATTTGAGGGTTTGGGGTTGTCTAGCTTTTGTTAGACTTGTGGATCCTAAAAGACCTAAATTAGGTGTGAAAGCTGCCACTTGTGCTTTTCTTAGATATGCAACAAATAGTACAGTCTATAGATTTTTTGATATTGAAAACAAAATAATTTTTGAATCAGGTGATGCAATTTTTCATGAAGGAAAATTTCCTTTTAAATCTAAAAATGTTGGGGTCAAAATTATTAAGAAAATATTTTATTTGAAGCCGGTTCCTCTACTCCTCTTTTACAAAACCAAGATACTGTAGTTTTTGAACCAAGAAGGAGTAAAAGAGCCAGATTAGAAAAATATTTTGGCCCTAATTATCATGTTTTTAATGTGGAGAAAACTCCATTAACTTCACAAGAAGCTTTGGCATTTCCTGACTCTGTTTTTTGGAACGAGACTGTAAATGATGAGATGGAATCATTATTATCCAATAAAACTTGGGTATTAGTAGATTTACCACCAGGTTGTAAAACTATTGGCTGTAAATGGGTTTTGAGAAAAAAAATTTAAACCGGATGGAACTATTGATAAATATAAAGCAAGGCTTGTTGCAAAAGGTTTTAAACAACAAGCAGATCTTGACTTTTTTGATACATTTTCTCCTGTTACTAGAGCTACACCCATTAGATTATTAATTGCAGTAGCTGCAATTCATGATCTAAAAATTCATTAAATGGATGTTAAAACAACTTTTTTAAATGGAGACCCGGGTGAAGAAATCTATATGGATCAACCTGAGGGTTTTGTGGAACCCGGTCAAGAAAGCAAAGTGTGCAAGCTAGTTAAATCCCTATATGGCTTAAAACAGGCCCCTAAACAGTGGCATGAGAAATTTGATTCCTGCATGATTGAGAATGGCTATAAAACGAATGAATGTGATAAATGCATCTACTATAAATCTGAAGAAAATTCACATGTCATTATTAGCCTCTATGTGGATGATTTACTTATATTTGCCTTCCCTAAAGAGGCATGCAAATCAACATGTGGAAAGCCTCCACCAAATTTCTGCAAAGGTTTGATTCCCTCCTTTCTTTTCTTTTTTCTTTTTTTTTTTTTGTGTGGGTTTCTGAAAATTGACACACTAAGATTTTTAACTAAGGTATTTAGTAAGAATAGTTATTATATTGAATCATAATTAAAATAATTTATAAACAACAAATATTGAACACCCACAAAATTATTATTCTTAATAATGTCTTGTTAGTGATTGATTTGAGTCAATTTAAAACTAACTTTTACACTAATGTATAATTCAGATAGACTGTAGACAAAATTAATTAATAAATTTTCTTTAAAGAATAATTAAAAGATGGGTTTTCACAATGCGACTGACTGTACTAGACCTGACATTGCCTATGCAGTTGGAGTACTTAGCAGGTTTACTAGCAAGCCTGGCAGAGATCACTGGCTAACTATTGAGCGTATTATGAAATATTTATCTGGTACCATAAAATATGGCTTGTTTTATAATAAGTATCTTGCAGTACTTGAAGGTTACAGTGATGCTGATTGGAATACCTTGTCAAGTGATTCATTATCAACCACTGGTTACTTATTTACATTGGGAGGTGGTGCTATAAGTTGGAAATCGAAAAAACAAATCATTATTGCTAATGCAACAATGGAGGCTGAGCTTATTACTTTAGCTACAGCTAATGAAGAAGCAAATTAGTTGAGAGATTTGTTAAATGAAATCTCTTGTTGGGAAAAACCGATTCCACCTATATCGATTCATTGTGATAGCACCGTAGCAATTGGTCGAGTTAATAACCGTTATTATAACGGTAAACCCAAACCTCTCAGAAGAAAACACAGTACTGTGAGATCTTATATGAATAATGGCATCATAAATGTGGATTATATTAAATCTAGTGATAATCTTGCAGATCCATTAACTAAGGCATTAGCAAGAGATAGAGTCTAGAATATATCGAGGGGGATGGGGTTGAAGCCCATTGAATATAGCAGGAGCCATGTATGAGGATACTCAACCCAGGGACCAGAGATCCTGTAACTGGGTTCAATGAGAAAAACGACCATATGATGACCGTGAAAAATGCATTAAATTACTTTTTTCCTATCCCTATGATGTAAGTGCATTTATCCTGTACTGTTGTAGAGGTTGAGTTATTAAAAAAACTCTTAATGAATTTCTGTAGCACTTATTGAGTGTGGTGTCATAGTTACAGGAGCACCCTTGACAGAATTCACCTATGTGAGTGTGGTAGTGGGGCCGCTACCTATGAGATTTGGACTAATTCTCAAATACACTCATGATTCCTGGGATCGCACAAGGCCGTGATGTGCTAGCTTTTAAAGCTTTTGTGAACACCTGGAATATTATGTGTGTACAATAATTATTTATTTCCCTTAGGCAGTCATAGTTCAATGTTGAGCATACTATTGGCTCTAGAGTAGATATTATTGTTTCACTAATGGAGGTTCAATGCAGAGCACACCTACCATGATGCATAATATCCTTATTTGCCTAATAATCTCAGTTTTGTTACCTATAATATTAAAATAGGTGGGGGAATGTTAGCAGGTATTTTAATATTATAATGTGTTAATTTGTTATCGTTGGCTTTTCTTTTCTTTCCCTCCAAGTTTTCAAGTCTCCTCATTCCTATCATTTCCAAGACTTCCATGGTAAGTTTCCAAGTCTTGGTCAAGTCCACCATGCTTATCTATCCAACTCTTCTCCAAGTCATCCGTTCCTTATCCACCAAGACAATCTCCAAGTCTTTGCAAGTCTTGATCTTGGTCCACCAAGACTTATCCATTCTAAGTCCATCTTTACTTAGCCACCAAGATAGATTCTTATATATAATTTGAACTATGTCCTATTTTGGGTGCAACACAAGAAGTGAAGAAGTTTTGGTTGTGTTGTTATGTCTTGAGTGAAATTATCAGGCAAATAAAAAGGTGTGTGTGATAAAGTTTTGGATTTAACCAATTGTGCAGTATTGATGAATCATACGAATTAGTCAGGTTGTTGTATCCTGGGGGACAAGTCAAGGTTTTTCTGCTGCACAGGTGTGAGGCTTTGCCTAACCGCAGAGGGCATGAATCTCCTTAAAGAGAGCGAATTTCCCGCGCCTCACCCCTCATATTAATTGTTGTAACTTTTATTTTGTGTATTTTCTGGTGTTTTATTTGTAAGTATCACCAACAATTTAAAATAAATTTGGGTTAAACATTTGTTCTTGTGTTCATGGCATTATTATTATTACTGCTGGCAGCTGCTAGGGGATGGGGGAAAAAATTGTGTTCTTTTTTATCCAAATTAATTTTTTAAAAGCAAATTACACTTTCCCATCAATGGCGAAATAAGTTTTCAACTTAAAATAAGTTACATCACACAATACAGAGAGTTTATATTTGGATCAGACACAACATTTTAAACATTATTACAAAATGACTACAAATCTATGAAGGCAAGCAAGCCCACTTTTGGCAAAATGTAATTACTAATATTTTTGAAACATCAAAAGCAAACCACCATTGTTTCACATAGCATAGAGATGAAGTGGAAGCCGAGGTTGAACGACGGCGATGAGTGGAAACTTCTTAGGCGTCGAAAGCCCAAATATTTCCTCCATATTCAGATCCTCTCTATTCACATTCCTTGGCAAATCCCAAGTAAACCCATGTAAGAGATTTGCCAAACTTGCCTGAATCACTTTCAACCCGAGACTATAACCCGGGCACATCCTCCGACCCGCCCCGAACGGCAACAACTCGAAATCATGCCCTTTCACATCAATTGCCTTTCCAATAAACCTATCGGGGCAAAATTCATTCGGGGCATCCCATAATTCCGGGTCACGCCCGATTGTCCAGACGCTGACGAGGATCCGCGTTCCCTCGGCAATGTCGTAGCCGGCCACCTTGCAATCTTCACGGCATTGCCGGGGGACAAGCATTGGAGCCACCGGGTGCATTCTCATTGTTTCTTTGACGATTGCTTCGATGTAAGGTAGGTTTGCTATGTCCTTTTCTTCAACCCATCTATCTCGCCCGATGACCCGGTCTAGCTCTGCGGTTGCCTTTTTGAAGATCTCGGGTTTTTTCAGGAGCTCCGAGATTGCCCATTCTACAGTTACTGCCGAGCTCTCGGTTCCACCCGCGAGTAGGTCCTGAGAATCAAATTAATCTAGTATTATTAACGGTGTCACAATTGAAATTATGAGACACTATTGATTGTTTTGATTTATAAAATTTACTTGCATGTCTCATGTTTGATTGTGTTGACTGAATTTTCATAATATATTTTTTTCAAGCGGCATTTTTTTTTTATTAAAATACTCATTATTTTTATATGATTTTTTATTAATTAGAGAGAAAATAATTTTTATAAATTCTAAAATTTCTTTTTATGTTGTTGGAATCTTGAATTTGTAAAATAATTTATTAAAAAAGAAGAGAAAAAATATATAAATTTATTTGCTTCTTTGGTACATTTTTTCTTTGGGGTTTACATTTTTTTCTTTTAATTTCTTTTCCCTCAAAGTGTATTGATAATAAAAATTAAAATTAAAAAACCAGGCAGTCAATCTTTTACTTTAATGGATTCACAAGGCCTGTTTCGTTTAGTGTATTTTTTATTTTCTCTTTACAAATTTATAATCTAACCGCATTTGTTTTTTTTCAAAAAGGCTAATTACAATTTACCCCTTATATTTGGCCATTTTTTCTCTTCCATCTTATCCCAGAAAAGGGCAAAGTGTAATTTACACACAAGTAAAAAATTAAAAATAAATTTTTTTTTAAAAAAAAAAACACTTTTTTTTATGTACCATCGCAGTTGCTTCCACCAATGAAAGTCAATTGGGTCAATTGGTAAACACTTCAATCTTATGGTAAGTTCTTTTTTTTTTTCTTTTTTTTTTGAACAGTAATCTTATCGTAAATTTATAATAGCCCCCCACAAGCTAGTTGTTCATTTTAGGCAAGTGTCCAAAAAAATTATCATCCAAGTCACAAAAAAAAATTAAAAATTAAAACTTGAACATTTTCCATAAATCATTTATTTGCCGAAGAAAATGAACCAGAAAAGTGGGGTTCTACTTCTAAATTTTTAGAAATTGATTTGGAGCTTGAGATAATTAAGTAGTAAAAAAAAAGTTCATTTGTATTAATTTAATTAATTAACCCGTTAATATCTCACCAAATAGAATTAAAAAAAAAATTAAAAAAGGTAAAGAACAAGCTAAGCACAAATGTCATTTTTTTTTTAAATTAATTAGAATTTAAACTTATAAAAATTTGGTGTTATAATGAATTAATTCGTAAATAATTATTCAATAATATGAAAATACCATATGATATTATTTGTGATGGTTCCAATTAATAATATAGTAAAAAAATTTAATAAGTGAGACAACACAAATCTCCCTTCCTTAAATAATAATAATAATAATAATAATAATAACTAATGTATTTTATCAAGGCGTCATATAAAAAAACAAGGCTCCATGTACTCTTATACTATTTAGTACTCATGATGTGTGTTACATTTATAAAATATAAATTTAAATTTAAAATGTATATATAAATTGTATATTATTTTAAGAGAAAATACTATGAATTTTAAATAATTTATTAATTTTTTTATCAAACCTCTCGTGCATGTAGAATTCACACAAACTGATATGTATGTAGGTCTCACTCATATGAAAAGTTTAGTAAATTATTTAGAATCCTCTAGCATAACTCTATTTTAAGCGATAAAGATGGTGGGTTGTTTCGAAAAAATATTTAAAAGTTGATTTTTTAACTTGTTTTGATTTTTTTTTTTAAATATGTGAAAAATATAAGAGATTCATGTTTGATTTAGTTTTTTGGGAGATAAATTTTTTTTAAAAAATCTTGGAAAAAGGGTTTAGAAATTTTTTTAGTTTGTTTGGTTGTATATTTAGAAAATAATTTTAGAATTTGAGATAATTTGATATTTTGTTATAATTGAATAGATGAGTATAAAAAAAATGATTAAGAAAAAGAGATGAGAGAGAAAAAATAATTAATTAATGTGTAACAAAGAGAAAGTGATTCTGAGAATCTTTTGAAAAAAATTTCAACCAAATAAAATTTTGAAATTTTTTTTAAAAAAGTTATATTTTGAGAATTAAACTAAAAACTAGACCGATGTAAAATGGATTAAACCATCTACCCAAACTTAGCCGGTCTTTTTGGGACGGAAGGAGTAATTGGTTTGGACTACAGTAAACAAATAAAAAAAGTATTAATTATTTAAAAACAAGAGGGGAATATTTTTATTTTAATTTTAATTTTTTAATTATCAAATTTTAACTTCAAAGAAAAAACGGATAGACAAGAAAGAATAAATATTAAAAATAAAAAATAAAAAAACAAAGAAAACTACAGTAAACAAACTGAATGTATGTACCTGGGTGAAAGCCTTGACGCCATGTCTCTGAAGTTTGATTTCGAGAGTAGGATCATCAGCAAGCTCTAATAACACATCCACCATATCCTTAGCCACAAACTCATCTCCCTCAACCTTCCTCCTCTCATTATGCTCATCAAGAACATGTTCCAAAAACCTATCAAACTTCTTCGCCAAAACCTTCATCCTCTTCACATACCCTTGCAAATCTAAGAAATCGATCCACGGAATCGAATCCCCAATATTAAACACCCCATTCAACAAGAACAACTCATCCAACATCTTCTTAAATTCATCGGGACTCACAATCGAATCCTCCTCATCTTCATCCAAGTACCTTTTCCCCAAAACCATCCGACTAATCACATTCAAACTTACGGTAGACAAATGATGTTTCAACAGGATCGAATCGCCAGACAACTTAAAGAGTTGTGTGAGGAGAGATTTCATTTCTTCGTTTCGAATGTATTCGAAGGATTCGAGGCGTTTGGCGCTGAAAAGCTCCATTAAACACATTTTGCGAGCTTGGCGCCAGTAAGGGCCGTAAGGGGACCAGGTGATGTCGGAGTAGTTGTAGGTGGTGTACTTTCCGGCGGCCGTTTTAGGGCGACCAACGAAGGTTACGTCCATGGTTTTGAGGAAGATTTTGGCCATGTCGACGGAGGAGCCGACGACCACCGGGAAGGAGCCGAAGCGGAGGTGCATGATTGGGCCGTATTTTTGGGACAGGTCGTGGATGGAGCGGTGGGGGAGAGAGCCGATTAGGTTTAGGTTTCCGATTATTGGCCAGGGTTTGGGGCCTGGTGGGAGGTTGAGTTTGGGGGTGCGGCGGCGGCGGAGGTGGGTGGAGAGGAGGAGGATGGCTGCTGTTGCTAACCATGCGGCGGCGTAGGCTGCCCATGTTGGTGTTTCCATTGTTATTGTTGTTGTTGTTTGTGGTGGAGTGGTGGTGGTGGTGGTGGTGGAGGAGTTGGAGGTAGGTGGTGGTGTTTGATTGTGGACGTTGATGGAGTGGTGTGAAGGTACTTATATAGTGGATTGAAGCCGCTTTTGAAAAGTTATTGTGGGGCCTGGAGTTTTTGTTTTTAAATTCAACTACAAAAAGACAAATAAATAAATAATAAAATTTATATATAATATGAACCACAAATATTTGTGTTTTTAAAATTTCTTAAACATTCAATGTTATCAAACGGCACCACAATAATACAGTTTATATTTACCTGTCTTTCACCAATAAAAATCCGACAAAAATCACACAAGAGAAAGGTATGAAACTGAGGCTTATTTTAATTTTTAATTGAATTCTCAAAACATCTTTTGTGAAATCACGTTAGTGGACCATAAAGGTGGGCCCCCTTTTTATTGAGTTGGCGTCCAAATGTGTTTTTGGGTGGTTCATACGGTTCAGTCATTTTGTTTGTTTGTTTTTTTTAAAGTTTTTAGGTGAGAAAGAAAATTTTAGTTTGATTTTTTAATTATTTTAATTTAATTAAAAAAAATTATTTGTAATTTTCATACATACAATCAACATTTAAAAAATAAAGGGTAGATTACAAATACACTTTCTAAGATTTATTTAAAATATAAATTATCTCTTATAGTTTAAAAAATTACATATATCTCCTTATCATAATTTTTTATTTAAAAAAATTAATTAAAAATGTGAAATTTTTAACGGTTCACCTGTACAATAATAAAACTATCCAAATGGGTTTTTTTTTTCACTCCATATGTATATTATATACACCGTGGGAGTTTAGGTTTCGTTTGAAAAAAAAAAAAAATTTAACTTAATTTTTTAATTTTTTTAACTTGTCTTTAAAAAGTCCTGGCATGGACGAATTTCTGACTTTTTTATAATTTTATGAAAAATAAAATAAAATAATTATATTTTGAATGTGATATTTTATTTTATTAATTTATTTTATCTTTTAATGAGTTAAAGTAATCTTAATCATCTTACCAAACAAAATCTAAAATTTATAATTTGTTAATTTGTTAAGTTGTGAATTGTTATATTATTATAAATTTTATTATATTTTCTTAATTGTTTAGATTTTTAAAATATTAATTTATTGACAAGATACTTTCACAGTTAGGCCTAGTTTAGGAAGACTAAATAAGGGCACTTTTTGACTTTTTATGAAATATGGGTTGGGTTTGGATTGGGTTTGAAGTGATGTGTTAGAGAGGTGATGTGATTTAAATAAGATGATGTGACTTAAATAGGATAGTGACTTTTTGACTTTTTATCTTTTTTCAATTATGCCAAACTTGGCCTTAGTCGTTACCAGGGGTGTAAATTGGACGCGGTTCGGCTTGACCCATCTAGGCCCAAACTCGGCTCAGCCTATGTCTTCCCGGTTGGACTTTCATCAAAATTCAGGTCGAGTCAGTTCATAGACCAAAAAATTAGACCTAGGCCTAAGGATATTTGAGCCTTCGACGGGTTGGGCCTCGGCCTGAGCTTAGGCTTGGACTTGGGCTTGGGCCGAGCCTAGGCAGGCCTGAATATTTTTTTAATTTTTTTTTTAATTTTAATTTTTAACTATTTTATTAAATTAAAATTTTTTTATTTAAAAAGATGATTGAATTTTTTTGTAGTTAAATGTGATGTTTGTGAGAAAAAAATGTAAAATGATTATAGATTTGGTGTGACATTTTATCTTATTGACAATTTTAATCTATTTCATCTTTTGTATATTTAGCTAAAAAATAACTCAAAACCAACTTGCCAAAAAAGGCCATAACAAACCTAAGAAATGCCTCATTCCTCATTCCATCACCTTTCAGTTGCATTTCTAATGAGGTGGTAAATAATATCAACTAATCAATTTTTTTAAACATTTTTCTCTCTTTTTAAAAATTGTTTGTCATCTCATTAGAAGTGTAATTGAGTGTGATGAAATAAGAGGATGTAGCAAAACTCAATAAATCTCGAGATTTCAAGTTTCACTCTTTTCGAGGCTAGCTATTCGGGCGACAACATATATTATTGGTACGACGAATCTTTCAGACTCAGGCAAATGGTATCTAGTGTAGGATTGTGGGTTCGAATTTCCTCATGTATGCGAATTTGCAACTTATCGTTATATGATTAAGTGGCTCTACTGTGTAGTACCACCTAAGGGTGACTTCTGCAGTCTCAGTTTCTTAAGGTCTAACCACAGAAGTCACCTCTCCGTGGTTAAATTTTTTTTAATGATAATATTAAAACTGTGTTAATAAAATATAATTATATTATATTTTTTTATTTTTAAACCTTATTTAAATTAATGATCCCAATACTAATTAAGTATAAAAGAAAAGATTAAATGGCTAAGCTGAGGATATTTTTTAACTTTTACTTATTAATTATTAATTTTCAACCATGATTGAGACTCCCATTTTTTTGAAATCCCTACAACCCCTTTGGATCTCCACCATTGATGGTGTGGACCCTACACATACATAAGTGAGTCCTACACATATATCAATTGTGAAAATTCAAAAAGGGTTATGGAGGTCTCAAAAAAATGAGAGTTTCAAACATTTATCATTAATTTTTGTCTTACAAAAAATACCAAACATGCCCTACATTTGTTATTGTCAATAATGAGTTCGCCTAGAGTACAAGGATTTTCTCAATCAAACTCATTTCCCATTTGTCGGCTTAATAATGGCGCCGTTTGGTAGACCTGTGAGAAAATTATTATAACTTATAATTTAACAGCTTATACTTTATAACTGTGAATATAAGCTGATTTTTGATTTATAAATTAAGTTTCTCCTCCCCCACTCAAAGAATAAGTTGATTTTTGACTTACAAAAAAATTATAAATTGTATTGTTAAACTGAACTAAACACATCAAAATAGCTTAAATTAAACTAAAAGCTGAAATAAACTGAAAATAAACCCTACCAAACAGGACCAATATCATGTTTTATTTATTATGATATGATAATTTTGTCAAAATATTTATTTTCATATTTTATTTACTAAAAAATTGATAAGAAAATGTAATGAGAATCATCATTCGGTATTGAAAAAATAATAATCATACTACAATAAAATAAAAAAATAATATTTTATTTCATTCTGTTTTATTCATTCAATTGTATATTACTTAAGATTTTTTTTTGCGAATTAGGCTTTTCTTATTGTAGGCTGACCATATTGTTTTTAGGAGCATTACATCAAAGAAAACCATTGAATTGTATCATTCTGTACAAGTTTGATAAAAATGTCATATTTGTATACCATCCATTAAAATTAACAATGTAAGAATAGTATAAAATGAAAGAAGACCTTGACTTAAAAAGTTTTTTTGGGTAGACGACTTAAAAAGTTCAGCAATAAGTTTCTCATTCAATGGAAAGAACAATGCAAATTACTTAACAAAGACCAAAAAAAAAAAGAAGAAGAAAGACTCAGGTAAAATGCTATGAAAATCACTAAACAACAACAAAGAATATAAAAAAGAAAGACTCAGCAGGTAAATTGCTTGGCAATGATCCTTGGTCTAAACAATAATCATATTTAAATTGTAATTCGAATCTCATCTATATCTAACTACAACTACTGAAAGACTTAGACTACATGTTTATAGGGACTTTAATATTTAGTCATGAAAAATACTTGGGAGCACTAATTAGTGCTCTCACTAATTAGGTGGCAGTGGGTCTCGCCATTAATGATGTGATGTTTTGGTCTTGGAGTTGTATTTTTTTTATTTTTTTTTTTACTTTTTTAATGTATTAGTGCTATTGGTGGTGATGTTTTTAGTGGGATGAATCATTGTTGTTTAGTCATTTATGTGCAAAAACACTTGAATAAAAAAAGTTATGAATTATTAGTGTTTCTGTCGTTTATAAAAAGTCGTGAATTTAAATATTAGGTGGTGAACTAATTTATTCTACTCCTCACTTCCCACTCTCCTTTGAAGATATCCAAGATTTGACCTGATAATTATCTAATACATATAAAACATAATATTATCATGTACTTGGAATTTGGAAATCAGTCTAACAAAGCAATGGACCCAAGTGTGCCAAAAAAAAAAAAAAGAAAAAAGAAATAATTTAAAGAGCAACTTTTTTTTTACATGCATCAATTTAATTAGTAAACGTAGGCATAACTCCGTATGGCTAACCCACCCGACTTTAAAGGGTGGTTTGGAATGATCTAAAAAATTATATTTTTTGACTTTATACGAAAAAATATACAGAAAAATAGAGAGATAATATGATAGAAAAAAAATAAAAAGATAAAAAGTGTGTACATATTAATGCACCCCAAACAAGGTCTAAGTGAGAGGATTGTATCACTGATGGAATCCGTTATTTAAAATTGAATAATGTTTGAGGGCCCGAAATTAGTGGCTCAAATTTGGCTCAAAACCCAAAACGACGTCGTTTTGGGTTTTGATTTTTTTTTTTTTGCAAGTGGCGGGTGGGTAGGTGGTGGTGGTAGAAGACGATGGTGGAAAGTGGCGGATGGTGGCGGCGGAAGACGTTGATGGAAAGCGGTGATGGGTGGGTGGATCGTGGTGGCAGGTGGGTGGTGGATGGCGGATGGCAGATGGCGGGTGGTAGCGGGTGGGTAGTGGTGGCGGATGGTGGTGGGTGGATGGGTGATGGTAGTGGGTGGTGGCGAATGGGGGGTGGTGGTGGGTGGTGATAGCGGGTGGGTGGTGGTGGTAGTGGTGGGTGGTGGGTGGTGGTGGCAAGTGGGTGGTGAGTGGTGGTGGCAGGTGGTGGTGAGGGGTGGGTGGTGGTGGCGGAAGACGGTGGTGGAAAATGGTGGCGGGTGGTGGCTAGTGTTGGGTGGTAAAAAAAAAAAAACTCAAAACTCAAAATGGAAACACATTTTTTGTGTTTTCATTTTTTTGCCCAATTTATAAACTGAGACCACTGATTTATAAATCAAAAATTTTATCAAACAAGTTTTTATTTGAGTTTTTAAAATTTTTGTAAATATAAACAGAAAACTGAAAACGTAAGTGTTACCAAACGACACCTTAGTGTTTCTG